CTGTTGGTTCACTCCCCAAATGTCCACAACAGCTCTTGCTGAAGCCACGAGCCCAAAACTCCATCAGGTCTCCCAAACGGCTGGCAGGGGCCCAAGCACGTACACCACTTCTGCCTCCCAGGATACATTAGGAGGAAGCTGGATTGGAAGTAGAGTAGCTGGGACTGGACCACGATGCCACCCTTTATTCCTGTCTTGAGTACAGTTTATAAGAATGGATGCCTAGAGCTACATCCATGATCTTAAGACCACAAGTGAAAACAGAAAGGTGATTTGAACAGCCACCTCCCTAAGAATGGTCATATGGAAAGTAAGAAAGAGCACTGATATTCAATGACTTCTCTGAATTATCAATCTGTTAAGATTGGAGGCATTTTAGTTCCAGACCATCACAATAGTGATTATCACAACAAAACAAGTCTCATGAAATTTTGTTTTCCCAGTGCCTATGAAAGCTATATTTACACTATCATCTTTTAAGTATGTAAAATAGCATTATGTCTAAAAAAAGCAACGTTTATACCATACTTAAAAAATACTTTATTGTGGGGTGGGCACTGTTTCACAGCTCATTAAACCATGGCCTACAATGCCAGCATCCCATATGGGCCCCAGTTCAAGTCCCAGCTGCTCCACGTTTGATCCAGCTCCTACTAATGCACCTGGGAAAGCAGCGGAAGATAGCGCAAGTCCATGGTCCCCTGCATCCACTTGGGAAACATGGAAGAAGCTCCTGGCTATTGACTTCAGCCTAGCACAGCCCCAGCTGCTGAGGCCATTTGGGGGAGTGAACTAGCAGATGGAAAATCTCTCTCTGTCTCTGTCTCTCTAACTCTATGGTTCAAACAAATAAATCTTAAAAAATAAAAATACTTTATGGCAATGAAACAAATAAAAAAAAAAACAAAACCTCTAAAGGATTCATCTGAGCCTTCAGCCAGTCATGAGGTTTTGCTGGTGGAGGGTCCTGCCTCCTTGTTGTTGACTTCTGATTGGTCGAGGTGGTGCTTGTTGAAGATTGGAGTGGGTGTGGCAGCTTCTTAAGACATCAATAAGATTTCCCTGTAGCATCCAGTGCTGCTTGACAGCATTTCGCCCAGTGCAGAACTTCTCTTAGAACTGGACTCAGTCTTCCCAAGTTCTGCCATTGCTTTATCAACTAAGTTTCTGTAATAGTCTAAATCATGTGTAATCATTCTAGCAATGTTCACAGCATCTTCAGCAGGAGTAATTCTACGTCAGGACATCATTCTCGTGGTTCATCCGTAAGAAGCAACTTCTCATCCAATAGAATTGCAGCAATTCAGCCATATCTTCAGGTTCCCATTTTAATTCCAATTTTCTTCTTTAAAGATTTTATTTATTTATTTGAGAGGTAGAGTTACAGAGAGAGGGAGAGACAGAGAGAGAGGTCTTCTATCTGCTAGTTCACTCCCCAAATGGCTGGACCTGGGCCAATCCGAAGCCAGGAGCCAGGAGCTTCTTCCAGGTCTCCCATGCAGGTGCAGAGCCATTTTCTACTGCCTTCCCAGGCCATAACAGAGAGCTGGATTGGAAGGGGAGCAGCTGGGACTTGAACCAGCGCCCATATGGGATGCCGGCACTGTAGGCAGAGGTTTGCCCACTATGCCACAGTGCTGGCCCATCTACCACTTCTGCTGTTACTTCCTTCAATAAAGTATTCAGTTCCTCAAAGTTATGTGTGAGGGCTGAAGTCAGCATTTTTCCAAATACCTGTTAATATTGATATTCTGACTTCCTCCCATCAGTCAGGAATGATTTTAACGGTGTTACATTCTGCCAAAGTCTCGTGGCTGAATTATGGAGTCTACTTCTGAGAGTCAGCAAAGTCATCAAAGCTGGTGGCTGCACTGGATGGGGAGTAGGGGATGGGGGGAGGGAGGGAGGAGGGAGGGGTGGGGGCATGTGCTCTCCAAATCATGCAGCCCCTACAGAGCTCAGGGTAAGCTTATAAAGGCAAAAACCACATCCTGTTGGGAGTTAATCCAAAGCCAAGCATTCGTTACAGAAGCCAGAACAAGCAAGGTTACGCTTATCTCTGAGGGCGCACTGAACCCATTTTCCTAGCACTTAATGTAAACAATCCTTATGAATAACATTTTTACAAGGCTAATTTTTGAGTACATAGTAGTTGTGCAATTGATTAGAAAAAGAGGACAAACAGAGTGATTAGAGATCAGAGGCAAAATAGAGTGACTCAGGTCAGGCCAAAGCTCACTTAAATGGCATCTAGAACGGGAAATCTTTCTAGAAGATTTCAACTTATTTTGCCCAGACCCATCATAGGAATCACCATCTATAGCAGCTGTAACTTCACAAAATATGTTTTTAAAATAATAATGCTTTAAATAATAGTTGCAATTTGGGAGCTAGTGCCGTGGCTCACTTGGTCAATCCTCCACCTTGCAGCGTTGGCATCCCATATGGGCGCTGGTTCTAGTCCCGGTCGCTCCTCTTCCAGGCCAGCTCTCTGCTGTGGCCCGGGAGGGCAGTGGAGGATGGCCCAAGTTCCTGGGCCCCTGCACCCACATGGGAGCCCAGGAGGAAGCACCTGGCTCTTGGTTTCGGATCGGCGCAGCGCCGGCCGTAGCAGCCATTTGTGGGGTGAACCAACGGAAGGAAGACCATTCTCTCTGTCTCTCTCACTACCTAACTCTGTGAAATAAATTAAAAAATAATAGTTGCAATTAAAAAAATAAGTTGCAATTACCCCTTTATGCATTGACTGTAACGTGGCTGCTGTATTAGGAGGCATAACAATTTTAATTTCATGGGCTGCAGAATGTTGTATGAACAGCCAGGCGGGAAGGCGCGGGGGAGGCCGTAGGGAACCCGGGACGCGGGGCCGGGTACCAGCGAGGGCTCGCGGCCCACAGGACTCGCGGTCCCGCCTCGGCGAGCCTGAGGGAACTGCGCCTGCGCCGCGGGACGCTCCGCCCCGCCCACCGCCGACGCCATCTTTGAGGCCGTTTCCGGCGCTGAGGGGAACCGGAAGGGCTTCCGTTGCCGAGGTGACGGGAGTGCGGCCGGCTGCGAGGTTCCCTCAGTTTGTAGTTCTTGCGTGGGAGAAAGATGTGAGTGAGACGGCAGGTTGGGCAGTCCCGGCGGTGTTCTGTGCGCCGCAGTACAGTCGCCTCCCTTCGAAGTCGTGCATTTAGCGAGTCCCGCCCCGGCGCGCTGGCGGTGGGTGCGGGCGCCTGACGTGCGCCGGAGTCGGGGGCTGTGGGGCTTCCGGGAGGCCGGGGGTCGCGAGGAGGACGCCCGAGGGCGCGATCTGGGGTCCGGGGCTGGCGGGAAGCCCGCGCGCGTGGCCGGGGTCCTCGTGGGCGCCGGGCGTCACCCGCTCTCCGTGGGGAAGGCCGAGTCCCCGTCTGCAGGGGCGGCCCAGTAATCTTCCCTGCGGCTCTGGGCTCCGTGTTCGTGTCTCCCAGGTATTGGGATTGAAAACCGGGTACGTCGTTAAAACACACATCCCGGCATGCAGCGTTCCCATTACGTCCCTTGGAGGAGGACAAGGACTCGTAGCCCGGCTCTGAGTATCCGTGCTCAGAATGTCTGGTTACATGATTACATGCAAGGTGTTTAAGGGGTCATTTATAATGTTCTGCGACTTTTTATTTATTAATTTTTTTACTTAGTGCACCTTGGATATTTTCACGTCTTAGCATATACCTTCTCTCTCTTTAAAGACTTACTTATTTGAAAGACAGAGTGACAGAGAGAGGTAGAGCCAGAGACAGAGAGAAAGGTCTTCCACCTGCTGGTTCACTCCCCAAGTAGTTGAGCTGATTAGAGCTGAGCTGAGCTGATCCAAAGCCAGGAGGCAGGAGCTTCCTCCGGGTCTCCCATGCGGATGCAGGGGCCCAAGAACTTGGGCCATTTTCTGCTGCTTTCCCAGGTCATAGCAGAGAACTGGATGGGAAGTGGAGCAGCCGGGACTCAAACTGGTGTCCATGTGGCATGCTGGCACTGCAGGTGGCGGCTTTACCGTCCTGCTGTGCCACAGCGCTGGCCCCTATACCTTCTTGATAATGGCTGCATCAATTGCTGTTAGTCCCTATTGCTTGTAAAATGCTGGTGTGTTTACTAGATTGCATTTTTATGCATCCCAGGAAGTAGCCTGTGGAAACTTTATTTGCCGCTTTAGATTTTAAGGTCATCTCTTTGGTTTGTCTGCTGTCTGCCTTTTCACCTCCCAGTCTCTTCCTAGTCTGTTGCAAATGTCTGTTTTGTTTTTTAAAGATTTATTTGTTTATTTGAAAGTCAGAGTGAGAAAAGGGGTGGGGGAGCTTCCATGCTGGTCACTTCCCACATGGCCGCAATGACCAGGGCTGGGTCAGGTGGAGGCCAGGAACCAGGAGCTTCCTCTAGGTCTCTCACATGGGCGCAGGGCTCTAAGCACTTGGGGTCTTCTGCTGCTTTCCCAGGCACATTAGCAGGCGGCTGGATTGGGGGAGCAGCCAGGATTCAAAATGGCACCCATGTAGGATGTTGTGGCGTTGGTGGCAGCTTTATTGACTATGCCACAGTGCTGGACCTGTGAATACCTGTTTAATTTATTTACTTCAGGATCCTGGTATCTTAGGAGAAAACTGTTTAATTCACATTAAAAGGGAACACACACACATACACGCACACACGTACAGGGTATTTCTGGGCAAAGACTTCCTAGGTAATGGGGACTTCCTGGCTACTGTTTATTCTTAGTTAATTTGTTACTTTAGTAAATGGTGATTAGGATTGAGATATGTAAGTCACCCAGCACATATTTTTGAAGTCAGTGATGAGAATTTCCATGACTAATCTGGGTTTTTTAGAACCCCTGTTTGGGGGGGACCTGTATAATAGGTGTTCCGTTTACTGCCAGGACCCCTTATGCACAAACCTCTTCTAGAGGCATCTCACCAAATGGAAACATTGAAAGGTGATAAGAACAGTGGTTAGCATACAACTGGAAATCAAGACGCTTTTCTTTTTAGATCAGAGCCTACGCAGAAGCTACAGTGTGAACATGCAGAAGGGAAGAGGGAGAACAAGTCGGATCAGAAGACGAAAACGCTCCAAAGGTTCTCAGACAAGAGGAGGTGGGTTTCTTTTGTGTTAATGGCAAAAAGAATGCCTTTGTTGATTGGTATCCATGCGGTCATAGCATTTCTCAAAGATTCATGGACAATGATCAAAGGGAATATTTCTTAAAAAACACTCCTTGTATATGGTGCCATTATATTCTTTTAAACTCTCTAGGAGTATAAATATATTTAACTGTTTCAAGTGTCTTTTCTGAGGATCACTCCCAAGCTTCTTTGTTTTTTTTTTTTTAAAGATTTATTTATTTATTTGCAAGTCAGAGTTATACAGAGAGAGGAGAGGCAGAGAGAGAGAAAGAGAAAGAGAAATGAAAGGTCTTTCATCCAATGGTTTACTCCCCAGATGGCCGCAATGGCTGGAGCTGTGCTGATCTGAAGCCAGGAGTTTCTTCGAGTCTCCCACGCAGGTGCAGGGGCCCAAGCATTTGGGCCATCTTCTACTGCTTTCCCAGGCTATAGCAGAGAGCTGGATTGGAGTGGAGCAGCCAGGTCTTGAACCGGCGCCCATATGGGATGCTGGTGCTTCAGGCCAGAGGGTTAACCTGCTGCACCACAGTGCTGGCCCCCTGTCTTTGTTTCTTTAAGCTACTGGTAGAGTCTCAGTGTTTGAGTATAAATTCATCACACTCTGAATGAGACACTGCATGGGAGAGCGCTAGGCTAACTGAAAGTCCTACGTGAATGCAATTTGTATTTGTATAAAACTTAGTAACACTCCTTCTGGGGGACCTCAAACACGTCAGGACCATCTTGAGCTAGTCTGACTATAAGGACCAAGAACACAGAAAAGAGATAGGAGACAGAATACGAACTCACAGCCAGACTGAATTTATTAAGAGAAAATAAACTCGCAGAAGTCGACCAACTGCCAGTGTGTACCTAGACCCAACATGTGGCAGAGGGCCTTAGACCCCAGCAGGCTGGGCCTTTTTATATTAGGTGTTATAGGGGTGGGGCTGGGGGGCAGTAGGTGGAAATGAGCTTCTCCATTCTGGTTCTTCAAGTTTGGCTTCTAAACCTGGGGAAGAATGCAGGGGGTCAGGTGGAGAACAGTGCAGGATGTGAGACTGAACTGGTCTCTTGTTGGAAGGCAGGGGCAGCGAGAACCTGAAATGGCTGTCCATCACTGACCTTAACCTCCTTTAACCTCCACAGCCAGTTTCCTGTTAAGTTTCTCCTGGCCTCACTCAGGCTCCCTTTCCCTCTAGTTCTACTACTTGAGCGTGGAGATGATTTCAGCTGCCCTTTTGTCCATTTGACTGCCTTTGTTTGCTTTCCCATATGTTGCTGTCGGTCTAACTTAACTGAGACTGTTTTCGGGTTACCCTTTTAGGAGTGTCTGGGACCTTTATTCCCTTTTGTATGACCCTGGAAGGCCTTCTGCCTGACATTTGGGGCTCTTTATGAGGGGGCTCTAGCTTGGCGAGTGCATGACTTAGAAGTGTGTCAGCTCGGTTGCTCCCTGGACACAAAGCACACGTTTCTGCCTCTCCTATGCCTCATAATCCTCCTTTGCCTAGAACGTGCTTTTTGTCCATTCTGCTGTTGGGTAGCATGTTCTGTAGATGTGTGTTGGTCCTAAGTTGTTGATCTTGTTATTTGAGTCTTCTAGTTCCTTATTGATATTCTTCCCAGTTGTCCTGCCCACTATTGAAAGTAGGATCTTGAAGCCTCCAATTACTGTAGAATTGTCTGTTTCTCCCTTTAATTCTGTCAGTTTTGCTTCATGTATTTTGGGATTCTGTTGTTAGGTTTGTATATGTTTATAGTTGATATATCTACCTGATGAATTGACTGCCTTTTTTTTTTTTTTTTTTTTTTTTTTTTTTTTTGACAGGCAGAGTTAGACAGTGAGAGAGAGAGACAGAAAGGTCTTCCTTTTTCCGTTGGTTCACCCCTCAAATGGCCACCACGGCTGGTTGGCGCACTGTGCTGATCCAAAGCCAGGAGCCAAGTGCTTCTCCTGTTCTCCCATGCGGGTGCAGGGCCGAAGCACTTGGGCCATCCTCCACTGCCTTCCTGGGCCACAGCAGAGAGCTGGACTGGAAGAGGAGCAACTGGGACAGAATCCGGCGCCCCGACCAGGACTAGAACCCGGGGTGCTGGTGTGGAGGATTAGCCTAGTGAGCCATGGCGCCGGCCTGAATTGACTTCTTTATCATAAAATGTCTCTTTTTGTCTCTAGTAACATTTTTGTTTTGTTTTAAAGTTTTAAAGCCAGCTCTGGCTGTCTTTTGGTGGTTTGTATGAAACATCTTTTTCCATCTTTTACTTTCAATTTCTGTATCTTTGAATCTAAAATGTATCTCTTGTAGCTAGGATATAGTGTGCTCTTTTAAAAATTTTATCCAGCCTGGAAAACTGCTTTTTGATGGATTTCTTAACCAAGTCACATTTAATGTTACTGTTTATGTAGTTGAATTTGGATTTACATCTGCCATTTGTATTTTTGTTTCCTATATGTCTTACAATTTTTTGTTCCTCTGTTTCTCCTTTACTATTTTCTGTTGCATTAATTGGATGTTTTCTAATATAATGCTTTAATATCTTAAGTGTCTTTTCATATTTTTTCGAATTATTCCCTTAGTGATAGCTCTAAAGCTTACGCTGTATGTATAAGTTGATCAGAATCTACCTCAGTGTAGGTCTTAGTCAGCTTGGGCTGGCATAACAGAATACCAGAGGTGGGGGGGCTTAAACAGAACAGATCTACTTCTCACGGAGGCAGAGGCTGGGAAGTCCAAGACCAAAGCGCCAGCTGATTTGGTTCCTGGTGAGGGCTCTCTTCCCGGCCTCTGGATAGTTTGCCTTCTCACTGTGTCCTCATGTGCTGGGGGTTGGAATCTCTTTCTTCCAAGACCACTAATCTCATCCTCATGTTGTCCTGTAACAATAATGATCTCCCACAGGCCCATCTCCAGAACCCATCACTTTGAGGTTAGGGCTTGAGCATATAAATTTTGCGGGGATATAAACACTCAGTCAGTTACAGTCTTAAGTATTATATATCCTTTAATTCCTATCAGTGATGTTTTGTAGTTTTTGTCTCTTAGGTCTTATACATCTTTTATTAGATTTATCACTTAAGAAATATATATTTTTAGAGTTACATAAATGATACTATACAAAATATTTTAACTTTTGATTATCTCTTGCTAGCATATAAAAATACATTGTTTTTGGATATTGATTTTGTATCTTGCAACCTTGCTAAACTCAGTTTTTGTTTTATAAATTCCACCAGATTTTCTACATGGATGCTCTTGTCTTCTGAGAATGAGGACAGATTTGCTACCTTTCCAATTGGATGTTTTTTATTTATTTTTCTTACCATCTTGCACTAGCTAAACTGCTGGTACAATGTTGATTAAAAGTGGGAGGCCCAATAGTTGTTTTTAGTTCCTGATTGGAGGAGGAAAGCTCTCAGTTTTTTACCATTAAGTATGTCGCTGTAATTTTTTTTTAATTTATTTGAGAGGAAGAAGAAGGGGAGAGGGAGGATGAGAGAGACGAGGGACAGAGAGATCTCTGATTCACTGGTTCACTCCTCTGATGCCCATAATAGCTGGGGCTGAGCCAGGCAGAAGCTAGGAGCTGAGAACTCAACTGGTTCTCCCATGTGGGTGACAGGGATTCAACTACTCCAGTCACTGCCTGATGCCCATCAGGGTGCACATTGGCAGGTGTCTGGAGTTAGTAGTGGAGGTGAGATTCCAAAGCAGGCCCTCTGTTACAGGCTGTAGGTACCCCAACCAACAGCTAAAATACTGGGCCAGAAGCCTGCCCCAGGCACTGAATTTTATCATCACAGTTTTGTGTCTGGAACATAAATGAATAAAGTCATGTCCACCAGCCCTGGAAATAGAGCAGGAGATGGACCAGGATGGCAAGTCTACTGCATACAGGACAGCTGACTGGGGAGCAAAGGTGGGAGAGGTTTCCTTTAAGGATGACAGGTTTTCCTAAAAAACAGCACCATGGGATAAACTGCACAAAGTGGTACATTTATATATGGAAGGAAACCTCTGTAGCCAAACATTTCCCAAGATGCAGCTCATTCCACTTTATGCTATGCAGGTTTCTAATTCCACTTTATGCTATGCAGGTTTCTAAGAAGTGAGGCTCAGTGGGCAGGTAGGGACTAGTGTACTAAGATTTTATTTATTTTTTTATTTATTTTTAAAAGATTTATTTATTTGAAAGAGTTACACAGAGAGAGAAGGGGAGACAGAAAGAGACAGAGAGAGAGAGCAAGGCTTCTGTGTTTGTCCCAGGAAGTGCCTGGTGTGGCCTCGGAGAGGAGCTGCACTTGCTCCCAGGAATTGCCCACCCCTGAGAGACTCCAGTGACAGAAGGAGTGAGCACACTTCAGAGCGTATTTACCCTGAACAGCAGGTATGCTGTCACCAGGGGGAAATACCCTAGGAGAGCCTGGAGAATTCTGATAACCACGAACTCTGATGCTGATTTTAAGACCAGAATTCCAGGAGTGGCTAAAACTTAAAAGTAAAACTTCTTGCATGTGCAGGTTACATAACAAATAAGCAGTTCCAACACACAATGGGAGTGTTTTTCTTCTCTGGTTGATGTTTGGCTGCAAGTGGAAAAAAAAAACTGCAAAGTCATTGTAGCCACAGCTTAAGACCAACACACGTGGAACTTAGGTTTTTTTTTTTTTTTTTTTTTTTTTTTGCTTCCAGACATAACTTAAGAGCTGTGAGCAACCTCAGGCTAGTCCATCCCAACAAATGTCAGATTACTAAAGTGCAAAAATGAATTGTGACAGATTCATCATTTCAGTGCTTCTTGACATCACGCCAATGGCGAAGAGCCAGCTGTGTTTTTAAAAATGAACTGCTAACCATTATGTAACCAAAGATCTTGGTCAGAAAGGCAAAAGAGAAAGATAAGCTCGCAGATGCTTAAGGATAAAATCTAAGTAACCAGAAAGTCACTCTTTACAGTGTATTTGTGTGTGTGTTTTAATGTAAAAAGCTGTTTTTTTTTTTTTTTTCCAGCACGGTCAAACATAGGTTTTCCCCTATGTTCTTTTTTTTTTTTTTAACTTTTATTTAATGACTATAAATTTCCAAAGTACAGCTTATGGATTACAATGGCTTCCCCCCATAAAGTCCCTCCCACCCGCAACCCTCTCCTTTCCCACTCCCTCTCCCCTTCCATTCACATCATGATTCATTTTCGATTCTCTTTATATACAGAAGATCAGTTTAGCATACATTAAGTAAAGATTTCAACAGTTTGCTCCCACACAGAAACATAAAGTGAAAAATACTGTTTGAGTACTAGTTATAGCATTAAATCTCAATGTACAGCACACTAAGGACAAAGATCCTACATGAGGAGTAAGTGCACAGTGACTCCTGTTGCTGACTTAACAAATTGACACTCTTGTTTATGGCATCAGTAATCAACCTAGGCTCTTGTCATGAGCTGCCAAGGCTATGGAAGCCCCCTGAGTTCACCAACTCTGATCATAGTTAGACAAGGCCATGGTCAAAGTGGAAGTTCTCTCCTCCCTTCAGAGAAAGGTACCTCCTTCTTTTTTTTTTTTTTTTTTCTTCTTATTTTTTTTAAAATTTTTTTTAAATTTTTTTTTTTTTTTGACAGGCAGAGTGGACAGTGAGAGAGAGAGAGAGACAGAGAGAAAGGTCTTCCTTTGCCGTTGGTTCACCCTCCAATGGCCGCCGCGGCCGGTGCGCTGTGGCTGGCGCACCGCGCTGATCCGATGGCAGGAGCCAGGAGCCAGGTGCTTTTCCTGGTCTCCCATGGGGTACAGGGCCCAAGCACCTGGGCCATCCTCCACTGCACTCCCTGGCCACAGAAGAGAGCTGGCCTGGAAGAGGGGCAACCGGGACAGAATCCGGCGCCCCGACTGGGACTAGAACCCAGTGTGCCGGCACCGCTAGGCGGAGGATTAGCCTAGTGAGCTGCGGCGCCGGCCGGTACCTCCTTCTTTGATGACGCATTCTTTCCACTGGGATCTCACTCACAGAGATCTTTCATTTAGGGTTTTTTTTTTTTTTTGCCAGAGTGTCTTGGCTTTCCATGCCTGAAATACTCTCATGGGCATTTCAGCTGGATCCGCGTGCCTTAAGGGCTGATTCTGAGGCCAGAGTGCTGTTTAGGACATCTGCCATTCTATGGGTCTGCTGTGTATCTCACTTCCCATGTTGGATCGTTCTCTCCCTTTTTGATTCTATCAGCTAGTATTTGCAGACACTATTCTTGTTTATGTGATCCCTTTGGTTAAAAAGCTATTTTCTATTCAATTTTATTAAAAAGCTGGATATGGATGGAAGGGCACAGGAGAGGGGATGTGCTCTAGTTTATAGTAGGAATAATGAAATTTATAATTTTTTTTGAGATCCAACCATGGCAGCCCTCTCAGCTAGTTGTCCCATGTACTATCACTGCATTTTGCTGATGAAAGAAAATTTGAAAAGGAGAGTCCCAGACCCCTCTGGTCCCCTTGGTGTGGAGTCACCCAAGGCACCTACCCACCCCAAGAGACAACACCAGGCTCTTAGGGGACTGGGTTCTCCCCTAGCTTGTCCCTGGCCTTTGGTAGCTCAATGTTGTCTTTCTTGACCATGCAGTAGATAGGCTCACCTGGAGCTACCTAGCAGTACATTAGGGACTGGAGCTCTCTTTTGGCACAGTAATATTTCAAGCTTGTTTCTTTGGTCCCCAAATACATTTTTTAAAGTGTGTCATGTTCTGTGTGCCCCACTAGACTGAACACAGTTTCATTGCGTGTGGCAAGTGCTCAGTGAATATTCACCTTTCAGCTCCTACAGAGTCAGGAGGCGTCTCATGCAGATAGGAAGTGGAAATGCTTACTGTCACTTTTTTTCATGAAGGGATGATTTTGAGAGTGAAAAAAGACGTTTCTAAAGCTGTGGTCCTTTTAAATGCCAACCTTTTTGTTAATTTGTTTACCTGTTGACGGAAGGTGCTATACAAATGTTTCTACTTTAATAAAAAATCACATAGATTTAGGGTGTATTTCAGGTGAAAGTTTGCCCTCGCTTCTCAACGCACTTCCTTCCCCTTTAACATTGAAGATGAAACAACTGTTTTATGTAACTGACACAAAAGAGGCCTGTTCTGCAAGTCCAAGTCAGTGAGATCAATGCTGAGTCCCTGAAAAACTGTAAGAATTCCCAGGCTAGAAACTAAAACATCCACAAACTCATACTCTTACTGAACAAATCCACCAACAAGATCAGGTAATTAATATATTACCCATGATACAATTAAAAAATTTTAAGTTGTGTATACCTACTAAGCAAATCCACCAACAAAATCAGATAATTAGTACATTACAAATGATGATATTTAAAAATTTTAAGCTGTATTTCTTGCTAGTTCAAAAAAAATGCTATTTTTTTTCTGTGTCAATTTTGTATCCTGTGACCTTGCTAAATTCTTTTCAAGTTTCTTAGCTGCTTATGTATTCCATCAGCTTGGCTACATATGTATGTATGTTTTCTGAGATCAAAGACAGGTTTACTTTCTTTCTACTTGGATACTTGGATGATTTTTTTTTTAAATAAAGATTTTTTATTTATTTGAAAGGCAGAGTTACAGAGAGGGAGAGGCAGAGGCAGAGGCAGAGAGAGAGAAGTCTTCCATCCACTGGTTCACTCCCCAAATGGCTGACATAGCCATGGCTGGTCCAGACTGAAGCCAGGAGCTTCATTCGGATCTCCTACATTGGTGCAGGGGCCCAAGCACTCGGGCCATCTTCCATTGCTTTCCCAGGCCATAGCAGAGAGCTGCATTTGAAGTGGAACAGCTGGGACTCAAACTGGTGCCCATATGAGATGCTGGCCATGCAGGCATTGGCTTAACCCTCTACACCACAGCACCAGCCCCTGGATGCCTTTATTTGTTTATTTTTTGCCTTATTGCACTAGGTAAACTGTGAGTACTATGTTGAATTAAATGGCAAGGGGCCCAAGGTATCCTTTATGTAGTTCCCAGGTGTCTGGGGGAAAAGCACTAGTTTGCCACAGTTTAGATGTGTCATAGTTTAAACATACTGACAGGGAGGCAAAGAGAGAGTGGGAGCACACATTCCCCATCTGCCAGTTCTGTCCCCCAGTGTCCACAGTGGCTGAAGTTGGCCACACCGCTGCCTGAGGCTGAGTATCGGGAACTCAGTCTGTGTCTCCCGTGAGGATGGTGGGAGCTCAGCTTCCTGAGCCATCAGCACTGCCTACCAGGGTGCGAGTTAGCAGGAAGTTGGAGTGAGGAGCTGGATCCAAGAATGCTCTCTATACTGCTAGACTAAGGCTCACCCCTGTCTTTTGTTAGGTATTCTTTACCAGGTTCAAGAAGTTCTCCGCCTTGGTTTGCTGAGGGTTTTCTGTTAGATTTTACCAACAGTTTTCCCTGCATCTGTTAAGGTGCTTCTGTTATTTACTATTTTAGTTCACACTGTTTGTGCTTTTTGTGAAAATGTGGTGATTTTCTTCTCTGTCAGGTAGGCTTCATCAGGGGTGGCCTTTTGAAAAGGGCATCTAATTGTACAGTGATTTAATCCCCATTTGTTCTGTCCTTTCCTGACTAGTGAATGAGAGCTACAAGTCTGAATTTATAGATCTACAGAAGTGGCTGAAAGACAGGAAGTTTGAAGATAAAAACTTAGCACCTGCTCGTTTCCCAGGTAAGATCTGGGATTCAACTCCCCTTCCCCTCATGTGAAGGGTGTGCCAAAAGCAGAGATAATTCTTAAGAGGTTGGCTTTGTTTTCTCAGTGAACATATTGATTGCTGTGTGTTGGGCTTGTTACCTTGTAGCTTCCCTATATACATGTATTTCACCTTGTAAAAATAAATGCAGGTGGATTATAGAAATGACAACATGTTGAAATAAAATTAAAAAGGGAAAAAGGGGAATTGTGGGGAGCAATCCGGACTAGACTAAGTTGCTCGAATTAGGACTTATTCTATGCATCTGCTCTCCCACAATATGGCGCTGGGAGAGAAGTAAACAGCTTCCGCACAGCTGCCTCCAGTTCAACCAATTAACTGTAGGACTTGCTCCTGATTGGAGAGCAGCGTACTCGGCGTGTGGGCAGCCGAGTTGGGATTGGCAGAGAAGGACTATAAAGGAGGAGAGAAACGGCATGCACCAGGAATATCTATGGGGAACATCTAAGGGAACCCGTGCAGCCCCCGAGAGAACCGGCCGGCGGGGTGCCGCTCCCCTGCGGAAGTGGGGAATGCGGCCAGGGGGAACTGCCCTTCCACGGAGGTGGAAGGGATAGTAGCCAACCCGGGAAGAACCAGCAGCAAACCCGGGGAGGGCCGAGCAGACGAAAGAACAGCGCAGGGTCCTGTGTCGTTCCTCCACGAAGAGGGGGAGCGACATAATGGTGCCGTGACTCGGATATGAAGCCTAGGACGGATAGCAAACTTAGGGGGGAAGAAACGGGAAGAAACGGGAAGAATTGGGAAAATATCGGAGAGAGAGACTAGCAAACAGCCTAGGGAAAAGCCGGACGAAAAGGGTGCCGGAGGAAGCTATTGAAAGCCTAGGCATAGACTCGGATACGGACTACGGGGGGAAGCTGGGAGAAATCTCTAAGGTCGAAAGCGAAAGTGAAAGCTAGAACAAACAGACTCGGACGCGGACTGTGGGGAGAGGCCAGGAGAAATGAGGGAGGAATATCGTTGGAGGAAAGCTTGGGGAAACATACCGGGTAGAGAAAAATGTTAGGGAAATTGAAGCCGCGGGGGGCAGGCCGAGGCGGAAACGAAAGCCACTTTGGGGTTCTCAAGTTAGCCCGGGAATAGGGGGCGAAAAGTTAAAACCAGAAGCTGAGACGCAAGCCAGATTGGGATCCGTCTGATTAGCCCGGGGAGCAAAGGACGGGAAGCCAAACCGTGGGGCGGAGACGTACGCTGGGTTGAATTCGCCAGGCTAGCCCGGGGAACTTAGATTGAATCCTAGTGGCGGAGACGCAAGCTACGCTGTGTTACTCGCGGAAGCCGCCGCGTGCAGAGAGAGCACGGGGCGTGAATAGATAGGGAACGCTGGCGTAGGCCGTGGTTCAGACGTGAAAGGGTTAAGCGTGGAGACCGCGGAGCGCGCAAAGCCGAGCCGCGCAAAGCCGGGAAGCTGCGCAGATGAGAGAGGCGCGCAGATGAGAGAGGCGCGCGGGCTGAGGCGGCGCAGAGCCGGGAACCCGCCGGCGGGGCGAGGTGCCGGAAAGCTGCGGGGATAAGAGAAACAGAAGTTTTAGAAGTAAAGTGAGAGAAATAGGAATGCTGGAAGATAGAAGTAAGATGGGAGAAGTGGGAATGCCCGGAGATAGAGAAATAGAGAGAAATAAGGCCTCCCCTCAACATGCCAATTAGAAGGCTTGGATTCGGTCTGCCCGATTAGTGAGGCGGTGCTGATTAGTGAGGCGGTGAGCACCTGGGCGGCTAGCCGCAGGTCATCGAAGACAAGCACGAATTAACATCAGTAAAGCTTCCCCACAATGCAACAATTAGGAGGCTTGGATTCGGTCTGCCTGATTTAAGGCGGTAAGCGCCAGCAAAGCTCGACCAGAGTATGAGCTGCAGGTCACCGAAGATAGGCACGAACCAACACTAATAAGTCTCCCCCACAATAAGGCAATGAGAAGGCTTGGATTCGGTTTGCCTGATAGGTCTTGTAAGTCCCCTGCAGGCAGAGCAGAGCATGCGCTGCAGGGCACCGAACACAGGCACGCATCAGCGCCTAAAAACCTCCTCACAATGGCGAAGAGAGGACCCGGATTCGGTTTTCCTGATTGATAGGACTTGTAAGAGCCTGTGGCAACTCTAGCAAGTACAGCAGAGTGTGTGCTGCGGGACACCGAAGACAGGCGCGTATCAACGCCAAAAAATAAAAAGAAAGGGGGATCTGTGGGGAGCAATCCGGACTAGACTAAGTTGCTCGAATTAGGACTTATTCTATGCATCTGCTCTCCCACAATATGGCGCTGGGAGAGAAGTAAACAGCTTCCGCACAGCTGCCTCCAGTTCAACCAATTAACTGTAGGACTTGCTCCTGATTGGAGAGCAGCGTACTCGGCGTGTGGGCAGCCGAGTTGGGATTGGCAGAGAAGGACTATAAAGGAGGAGAGAAACGGCATGCACCAGGAATATCTATGGGGAACATCTAAGGGAACCCGTGCAGCCCCCGAGAGAACCGGCCGGCGGGGTGCCGCTCCCCTGCGGAAGTGGGGAATGCGGCCAGGGGGAACTGCCCTTCCACGGAGGTGGAAGGGATAGTAGCCAACCCGGGAAGAACCAGCAGCAAACCCGGGGAGGGCCGAGCAGACGAAAGAACAGCGCAGGGTCCTGTGTCGTTCCTCCACGAAGAGGGGGAGCGACAGGGAATGAGGATAGAAAAGTAAGATGAAGCCAGGAATAAGGAGGACATGTAAGAGACACAGTTAAAAGTCTTGCACACTTGTCAGAGGTGAGCCACAAGTGGGATCATCTTTCCAGCGGCTGGCAGGCTGGTTGTGGTTGCTGGGCCAGATCTCTTAGTGTTTGTCTCCTCAGCAGAAGGGCAGGTGTTCCTGGAGCCTAGACCTGATGGAGGTAGCTATGTTGGATGCTCACAGGAAAGACATCTGTGATAGGGTGTGACATGGTGATCCGTCCACTCAGCAACATCTCTGTGGTGGCGGTTTTGTGGATTTTTCACATTGTGTGGGCTGATGGGGTTGTCCCACAGCTCCAGTGAATACCCATAGTTGGTAGATGTCTAAGAGTGGGAGACTTGCAATCAGCCTGGTGAAGTGCTTGTTCTCTGGGTGTCCCTAAAGGAGAGAACGTTAGAGAGCCCTCGGCACGTGCTGTCCCTATTCTTGTTTGTGGCAAGTACTGGCCAAGGCACACTCTCTGTGACAGTTCATGACAGAGCTGCGGGCACCTGCAGTCATCTGAGCTCATATGAGGAGAACATTCTTTTTTTTTTTTTTTTTTTTCTTTTGACAGGCAGAGTGGACAGTGAGAGAGAGAGACAGAGAGAAAGGTCTTCCTTTGCCGTTGGTTCACCCTCTAATGGCTGCGGCGGCCATCGTGCTGCGGCCGGCGCAGCGCGCTGATCCAAAGCCAGGAGCCAGGTCCTTCTCCTGGTCTCCCATGGGGTGCAGGACCCAAGCACTTGGGCCATCCTCCACTGCACTCCCGGGCCAGAGCAGAGAGCTGGCCTGGAAGAGGGGCAACCGGGACAGAATCTGGCACCCTGACCGGGACTAGAACCGGTGTGCCGGTACCCCAGGTGGAGGATTAGCCTATTGAGCCGTGGCGCCGGCCAACATTCTTTTCTGAAAATTAAAGAGCTTGTGTTTGGAGGTTAGATTTGGTTAGCTGGCAGTGACTATGTGCCTGAGTTCAGGGCCACCCTGCTCTGCCCCTAGGTGGGCTGGAGACACCCACAGGGTAGAACAAAATGTTCTTCAAACATATTTGGGGTCCAGCTGTAGGAAAGAGACAGTTGCGTGATTAGGGACCTCATGCTCTGTGTCACAGGGCAGGCTGCAGAAATGTTGCCTTACAGAAAATTTAAAGCATATTTCACCAATTGCTCAGCTGGCCATTAGGATAGTTATTCAGGCACCCATTGGGTATTTGAACTTTGAGCAAAATTTCTTGTTTGTCCCCCAAGGTAAAAGACTGCTCATTTGCCCTTGGCTGAGTGAGGTAGTATGTGTAAGTTCATGAATCACACATGCTTCCTTGGGGCCCAAGAGCTGCATTTGGGCTGTCAACCCAAACAATGACAGAGAATGGCTCCCAAAACAAAGAGCTTTATCAGGAATAGCAGGCACTGTGATTTGGGATTCCTGTGCTGTAGCGAGCTATGGGCCTGTTTAGGAGGCAGAGGGAGACAGGTTTTTTTTTTTTTTTTTTTTTTTTAAGACTTGTTTATTTATTTCAAAGTCAGAATGTCAGAATTACACAGGGAGAAGGAGAGACAGAGAAAGAGGTCTTCCATCCTCTGGTTCACTCCCCAATTGCCTGCAACAGCCGGAGCTGCACTGATCAGGAGCCAGGAGCCAGGAGCTTCTTTTGGGTCTTCCCATGCAGGTGCAGGGGCACAAGGATGTGGACCACACTCAACTGCTTTCCCAGGCCATAGCAGAGAGATGGATATGAAGTGGAGCAGACGGGACTAGAACCGGTGCCCACCCGCACTGAGACAGGGTTTTTTTTTTTTTGGCCAGGCAGAGTTAGAGAGAGAGAGAGAGAGAGAGAGAAAGAGAGACACAGCCGGTGTGCTGTGTTGATCCGAAGCCAGGAGCCAGGTGTTTCCTCCTGGTCTCCCATGCGGGTGCAGGGCCCAAGCACTTGGGCCATCCTCCACTGCCTTCCCGGGCCACAGCAGAGAGCTGGACTGGAAGAGGAACAACCGGCGCCCCAACTGGGACTAGAACCCGGGATGCCGGTGCCGCTGGTGGAGGATTAGTCTAGTGAGCTGCGGCGCCGGCTAGACAGGGTTTTTAAAGGTAGTATGAAGAGGGTCACACAAGTTGTTGAAATAATTATTGTTAGCCATGAAGACCCATAGCAAGGTCGATGTCCATCCAAAGTTGAGTGGACAGTTGCTGGGCAGGCCTTGTATTTTTAGGCAAGGTTGTGCTTTGGCAAAGTCTGTTGTGATAGCTCCTGTTGTTAGGTGGTTATGAGTGAGGACACACCCATCGTGGCCTTCCCTGGCTCCATTTTGTCAGAGTTTGACAGAAGTGACTCCATTCTGGTAGTGACAACTTTTCACAGCACTGTTTTTTATTGAGGCCTCTTACAGTATGATCATGAACCATAATTGTCAGCGTGTTTAACTGTGTTTCCGTGTGTCAAATGGTCAGTAAAAGCCACATCCTTAGATCATACTGTCTTCACCAGGTGATCAAAGAAAATAGTGGCAGGAGTGGCTTTGCGGTTCCCAAGGCCTGCTTCCCTTCTGGGTGTCACTCTGCCCTAAGATGGATAGGTTTAATGTGCTTAAAAGCAGTTGGCAAGTGGTTTAGATACAATCCTTGAAAATAATCTATCTGTAATTTGGGGAAGTAAAGTTAAGAAAAAATATTATTTATTTATTTATTTATTTATTTTATTTGTTTGAAGACAAGGGTTCTCATTTTTAACAGTGGGAATTGTTTGTCCTGGCCCCAGACTCCTGGCCATGGAGGTGCTAAGGCAGATGGTTTGCCAGTGATCTGAGCCCACTGCTTACAGTTTTGGGAACAGGAGACTTTGTCTAAGTGCTTTGTGCATTTTCAGATTTTAATCAGTGTGTGATAGGAAGGAACATTTTTGGAATATCTTGTAACAAAATGTGGGGAAGTTAGTATTAGCTTCAGAAAGGGCATGAGGAGGCTCTTAAGTTGCAAGCCGTGTTCTGTTTGGGCTGTTATCTGGTTTACATTCTGGGGACTGGCTCCAGAGTCTGCTTTGACGACCACACCACTTGCTGGCTCTGAGCGTTCTGGATTTATAATCCAGAGATTCTAAGCCAGTGAGGCATGCAGTTAAGCTTCACTGCTGACAGGCACTTCCACCTTGACGAGTGGATTCATTGTGAAAATGTCACTAAGTGCAGATTACTGGGATAGGTGTTTTGATATTGAGCAATATATTATAGAAATATAAATGGAGGGGCTGGCGCTGAGGCATAGTGGGTAAAGCTGCCTCTGCAGTGCTGGCATCCCATATGGGTGCCGATCCAGGTCTCTGCTGTGGCCTAGGAAAGCAGTAGAAGATAGCTCAAGTCCTTGGGCCCCTGCAACCCCATGGGAGACCTGGAGGAAGCTCCTGGCTCCTGACTTTGGATTGGCATAGCTCTGGCCATTGGGGCCATCTGGGGAGTGAACCATTGGATGGAAGCACTCGCTCATGTTTCTCTCTCTCTCTCTCTCTCTCTCTCTCTCTGTCTCGGGCCCAAGCACTTTGCCCATCCTCCACTGCCTTCCCGGGCCACAGCAGAGAGCTGGACTGGAACCAGGACTAGAACCCAGCACCCATATGGGATGCTGGCACCACAGGCATAGGATTAACCAAGTGAGCCACGGCGCCGGCCCTGCTTACTGAATCTTAAAAAAAGAAATATAAATGGAGTACTTCCCAGCTGAGAAGAAAGGTCAAGAACTATGAATGTGGAGAGATTAACACCTTAGGCCTCCTCGGGTCAGAGAATACTTTTGCCTGCTGGGAAAGCCATCAGCTGAGCAATGTTCATCTGACTGTCGTCCAGCAAGGGAGCCGTGGGCATGGAGGGATGAGCTTCTGGAAGTTGGTGGAGTTTTAACAGTGCAGAATGAAGTCACCATGGTGACTGTGCTCTGGTCAGAGCCTGGGCTTGCAGCTACAGCTGGCTCTGGATCTACTCAGGCCAGCTCCCCAAGGTCCAGGAGAGCCCCTCTAGAGGGTGACTTGGTTGGGGAAAGGAGGATAAGGTTCACAGGTTCTGCCAACCTGAGTGCGGTTGACTGGTCTATACGTCAAAAGCGTCTCAGGGTCTCTACTGGGGAAAGCCAAGTCTGATGATGAAGTGACCTGGGGGGGTCTAGCCTTGGAGGTTGGGTGGGCATTGGGAGTAGGCTCCCTCCCTTATTGATACACCTTGGAGCAGAGAGTCCAGCTGGACGGTTTCTGTGGGAGGCCCAGGTGTAGATCAGTAAGAAGTCCATGGTGGTCTTTAGGTCTCAACTCTGAAGCTTGCTTTGCCTTCAAGGATTGTAAATGCACATGGAGGTCAGGCCATTTTTAAAAATTATTTATTTATTTATTTGACAGGCAGAGTGGACAGTGAGAGAGAGAGAGAGAGAGACAGAGAGAAAGGTCTTCCTTTTCCGTTGGTTCACCTTCCAATAGCTGTTGCGGCCAGTGCGCTGCTGCCGGCGCATCACGCTGATCCGAAGCCAGGAGCCAGGTGCTTCTCCTGGTCTCCCATGGGGTGCAGGGCCCAAGCACCTGGGCCATCCTCCACTGCATTCCCTGGCCACAGCAGAGAGCTGGCCTGGAAGAGGGGCAACCGGGACAGAATCCGGCGACCCGACCGGGACTAGAACCCGGTGTGCAGGCGCCGCAGGCGGAGGATTAACCTAGTGAGCCGCAGCTCCGGCCGAGATCAGGCCATTTTTAAAAATAGTTTCCCGATCCCTTCTTCCTCTTGGGAATCAAAGGCTGAGATGCCCAGCCTCAGTGTTGCGTAATTCTGAAGTTCATTTGCATCTTTAATTCAAAGTGGGGTCTCTAGGACTTGAAGGTATCATTGGATGTACCCTCATCTGCCTTTGCTTTCCTAGGTACAGGAAGAGGGCTGATGAGCACCGTGTCCTTGCAGGTGAGAACTTCTCTTTTATCCCTGAAACCCATTGTAGGTCATTTTGCTTTGTTTTTATAGTTCCGGTCAAGTGAATTAAAAATGTTTTAGACATATAAGCATTTTTGCCTAATGGATATGTTTGAATGTAAGTGCCAACTAGGATTACGTTTTCTCTAAACCCAAAGTCACAGTTCTTCAACAGTGCAGAAATTTGCTTTGCTCAAGACAAACTAGCCTGGAGGAAGCAGACTTGAGCTGGTGGTGCGGTCTCATGGCCATCTAAGCCCACACTTCCACCTGACCCCATCATGCCGTGGCTGTTAGAGCTTGAGCAGTGGACAGGAGTAAGCGGGTGAGGAAGGCAGGCTTCCCCCACTGAGGGCATTCCAGCCCCATCTCATTGGACAGTGACTCCAGCAGGCTGCGATCCTCACGGTCTTTCCCCGGCATTGCCCTGTCCAGATAAGATAACAGGTGAGGTGAGGAGAGAAGGCACGTGGGGTAGACCGCTAGCAGTCTGCACAGCAGTTTTATAAATTAAATCATACTGCAGGTGTGCCAGGGCCATGGCCCTCCTGTGAGTGGCTGTGAACATGGGCCCTGTCCCAGGATTGCCTTCAGCTCTCTCTCTGACCTGAAGCAGGACTCAGGATCCTCTCAACCTTTGTTCCGGACCTGGAAGATGAGGAGGCGATGACGTAGATGATCTGCAAGGTCCCCACTAGTTCCCTCTGTGCCATTTTAAAGGACATCCAATGAACAGTTTCTGCCAAGCTAGAAATATATTTCTTCCTTTATTTTAAAATTATTTTTATTTATTTCTAATTCCTTAATTTATTTAAACTCAGCTATGTGCATGTGTTTAGCCTAAAGAATGGTATCTTTTAATGTTGTAATTCTATTATGCTGTTTTTATTTAAAAATTTTTTTAAATTGTGAAATATATACAAAAATGCTTCAAAAAGTTCATGGAAAAATAGGATTAAAAATGCTTTATTTTGTGCAAAAAAATTTCAAATCTATGCATAGATTTTTCATAATAATGAACCCATACTTTGAGGTCCTTCCCAAAACTCACGTGTTCTAATCTTTACTTTCTTCTTGGCAAGGAGGGACAGATGATTATTTCGTTGCCTGAGAGTTGCCTGCTCACCACGGACACAGTGATTGAAAGCTACTTAGGGCCGTACATTACTAAGTAAGTGACCACCTGAATGCTGCTCTGGTGTAAGCGATTCTCCTGGACAGTCTCTGTCATTGGCAACTGGGTCATGTGACACATAGTTCATTAGGGCCCAGCTCCTTGTCTAGCTGATGAATACCTGAAATGATCTGGAGGCTTTACTCTGCTCCAGAGAGAGCGAGAGCGAGAGAGAGTGATGTCCCATCTGCTGACTCCCTCCCCATGTGACCACAGAAGTTGGTGGGTGAGGGTGAAGGGGAAGGGCTGGGCCACGCAGAAGCCAGGACTTAGGAACTCCGTCTGGGTCTCCCATGTGGATGCAGGCACCCAGGTATTTGAGCCACTACCTGCTGCCTCCCAGGGTGTGTGTTAGCAGGAAGCTGGAATAGGGAGCGGAGCCAGGACTGTAACCCAGGTGTTCTAATATGGGATGGATGCTGGTGTTCCAAGTGTTTTCTTAACCACTGTGCCAAAGATGTGCCTCTGTAAATTGCATTTTTAAGATTCCTAATAGGCTGCGTGGGGTGTGAGTGTGAATCTGATCCATCACTTTCTTAAGAATGAAGAATTATTGGGATAGTATTTGTAAGTCACAGCTGAGTCCCTTGGCTGATAGTAGCCTGTTCTGCATCATAATAGGTCTTGACAAATGCTAGTCTCTCTTTTATTTTTACCCTCCTTATGCTTGTTTGAATTCTCCAATTATGAAGAGCTGTTGGCATTCTGAGAGAATTAGTTCTGTGTAGGAATAGGAGAGAGGGGGCCCATGTGGGAGTTGAGACCCATGTTCCGGCTCATGTTTCTGGGCCTTTGTTTTGGGGCACCTCTGAGGACAGAACGAGTGAGATCCTTGGCAGAAGGGATTTCTAAGTTAGGACTGTCAAAAGATTGTTCTGTTTGGCAATTCTGGACTTCCCCCCACCCCACATTTTCAGAAGGGAGCTAATATATCTTTATAGGCCTAAGTAGAGGCAAGCGTGTTCTTGGTATTAACATTTTCTAACTTACTCTGAGTTAAGTATATGGTAAAATGGGAATTTGGAATTCAAAAGATTGATGGAAACTTTTTCAAAAAGCATTCATGCAGTATGAGATCTCTATTGGTAATTGTGTAAAGCTAAAGTACTCTATTATCTAACTTATAATAGAGTAGATAAGCTTGGGAGTAGATCGTTTGTAACTAACAAGACTAAAATAGGCATGTTCAGTTTGTCATCCAGGTTAGTGTCACCCTTAGAACATTGGGAAACAACAGAGGTGTTTTACTCTACTTTGTCCAATATGGTGGTCTGCACAGATGGCTGTTGAGCACTTGAACGTGCCTTGTCTGACTGAGGGACTGAGTTTTAAATGTTACAGGCAGCCCTCTGTGTCCACAGGTTCCATATTGTGGCTTTAGCCAACTGCAGATTGAAAATGTTTGATTTAAAAAAGTCCTTATTGTCTCTATTCGGCATGTACAGACTTGTTTTTCTGGTCATTATTCCTCAACAGTACAGTGTGGTAGCTGTTTTACAGTACTTACATTGTAATAGTTGTTATAACCTAGAGATGATTCAGAGTGCATGAGAGATGAGCATAGGAGGTGTGCCATTTTCTATGAGGGACTTGCACTCTGTGGCTTTCAGTAACCATGTGAGTCCTGGAACCAATTCCCTGCAGATACTGAGGGCCGCACATATTTAATTCTGAATCGTTGAAATTGAAGCTGGAGTTGCCTGTGTACCCAGTGGTTACTGTAGTGGATGGTGAGGGTCCAGCGTCTTTGCATCAGTTTCCCCCCACTGTGCTTGCCTAGCTGAAACAGATGTGCTTATGACAAAAGCTTGAAGCCAAATTGGAAGCCAAGGGGCTTTTGTAACAAGGAATCGCTTGCAAACAAACCTGGAGGTTGGGTTTCTGAGTTGGCATTGCTGGCTCATCAGTTTGGTTTGTTCAGTGCTGTTGTGTGCAGGGTGCACTAGGGAGAGGGATAGTCCTTGGGGAGGAAGGAGCTCTCTTGGCTGCCCTCAGTATACTCGAGTGTATATCGAGTGTTGACAATTTGAACACAGTCCCTGTGGCTGCAAAACCAAACACTTAGCTTATTCTGTATTTTGAGTAAAAGTAATTCCTTGAATCTGACTTTTAATTTTAAAAGGTGGAAGCCTCCTCCGTCTCCTCTGCTGGCTCTGTGCACATTTTTAGTTTCAGAAAAGCATGCTGGGGACCGGTCTCCCTGGAAGCCTTACCTGGAAATTTTGCCCAAGGCCTACACCTGCCCTGTTTGTTTGGATCCTGAAGTGGTGAATCTTCTGCCCAAACCTTTACAAATGAAGGCTGAGGAACAGAGAGCCCGTTTGTGGGAGTTCTTTGCTTCCTCCAGGGGCTTTTTCTCTTCCCTGCAGCCTCTGTTTGTGGAGCCCATTGACAGCATCTTCAGCTACAGTGCCCTCTTGTGGGCCTGGTGTACTGTCAACACCAGAGCTGTGTACCTGAGGCGCAGGCCGCGGGAGTGCCTGTCTGCTGAGCCCGACACCTGCGCACTTGCTCCGTACCTGGATCTGCTGAATCACAGCCCACATGTCCAGGTGAGAAGCTGACAGGTGGACCCAGGCTCTGTTTTGATAGGAAGGATTCCAACATGTAGAACCCATGACTTTGAATGGTGAGAGAAGCCAAAGGGATGAGTGAGCTGTTAGGTCAAGCTGCTGGCAGGAGTGTTCTTCTCTTTCACCTCAGCCCATTGTCACTGCTGGCATGGTTTTTCCTTTCTCCCATTTTTCTGCTCTACTGTCCTGGCCTGTGGGGTCCTGGACTCTCTTCCCTGGGCTGCTTTTCCTAGCACCCATCACCTGCCTGGCCTATGGGGCTGAGCTCTTGTTTACTCTCCTGTCCGATCCTGTTTCATTGATAACTTTATGGCACAGCTGTCAAACGTTGTCTTTGCTCTGCTAATACTAACTGATAGAAATCAAAAAGGGAGAGAATGATCCATCATGGGAAGTGAGATACACAGCAGACCCATAGAATGGCAGATGTCCTAAATAGCACTCTGGCCTCAGAATCAGCCCTTAAGGCATTCGGATCTGGCTGAAGAGCCCATGAGAGTATTTTAGGCGTGGAAAGCCAAGACACTCTGGAAAAAAAAAAAAAAAAGAAGAAGAAGAAGACCTAAATGAAAGATCTCTGCGAGTGAGATCCCAGTGGAAACTACGGGGCCATCAAAGAAGGAGGTACCTTTCTCTGAAGGGAGGAGAGAACTTCCACTTTGACTATGACCCTGTTGGAATAAGATCGAAGTTGGTGAACTCAAAAGGCTTCCATAGCCTTGGGAACTCATATGGCTAGAGCCTAGGGAGATTACTGACGCCATAAATAAGAGTGTCAAATTGTTAAGTCAACAACAGGAGTCACTGTGTACTTAGTTCTCATGTGGGATCTGTCCTTAATGTGTTGTCCAGTGTGAAGTAATGCTATAGCTAGTACTGAAACAGTATTTTACACTTTGTGTTTCTGTGTGGGGGCAAACTGATGAAATCTTTACTTAATATATACTGAATTGATCTTCTGTATATAAAGATAATTGAAAATGAATCTTGATGTGAATGGAATGGGAGAGGGAGCGGGAGATGGGAGAGGTGCGAGTGGGAGGTAAATTATGGGGGGGAAAGCCATTGTAATCCATAAAGTGTACTTTGAAATTTATATTTACTAAATAAAAATAAATAAATAAATAAACAAATGAATGTAAAAAAAAGAGAAAGATTATAAAAAATGAACTTGCATGGGCAACCACAGAGGGTGGACAGGCTCAAGGGCAGAAGTGGCATTTTTCCCACGTGTCGTTAAATTCATAGATGAGTGTTTAGCTGCATCTGACATAATATGGTGACTGAATCCATTATTTAGTTTTATGCTTCAAAAAAAATCTTTAGCAATTTTCCTTCCTAGGTAGAAGCAGCGTTTAATGAGGAAACTCGTTGTTATGAAATTAGAACGGCTTCAAGGTTTAGAAAACACGAAGAGGTTTTCATCTGCTACGGCCCTCATGACAACCAGCGGCTGCTCCTGGAGTATGGCTTTGTTTCCGTCCGTAACCCTCATGCTTGTGTTTATGTCTCAGGAGGTTGGGATCAACTTTGTTCTTTTTTTTTTTTTAAAGATTTTATTTGTTTATTTGAACGAGTTACAGAGAGGTAGAGACGGAGAGAGAGGTCTTTCATCCACTGGTTCACTCCCCAGATGGCCACAACTGCTGGAGCTGCGCCGATCTGAAGGCAGCAGCCAGGAGCTTCCTCTGGGTCTCCCACATGGGTGCAGGGGCCCAAGGACTTGGGCCATCTTCTACTGCTTTTCCAGGCCATAGCAGAGAGCTGGATCAGAAGAGGAGCAGCCGGGACTAGAACCAGTGGCTATATGGGATGCCGGCGCTTCAGGCTAGGGCTTTAACCTGCTATAGCACTGGCCCCTCAACTTTGTTCTTGCTGTTAAGATGTTGTAACTTTTTATCCCTCTGGAGATATGGTTATTTTCAGTTTTAACAAAAATAGGAAAACGTTAGGAACTTACATTTTTTTATGTAAAATGTTACATTATTTTGTCGTAGGTAGGTGTAGTCTTATTCTTACCGACTGTGCAGTTTCAGTGTTGGAGTAAAAACAACAGAGTTGGAGTGATACTGAGTAGAACTGGGGCACACAGGTGTCTTGCCTAGTGGTTATGATGCCCGTGTACCATATTGGATTTGATCTCTGACTGGCTCCTGACTTCAGCTGTCTGCTAATGCAGACCCTGGGAGACAGCATGATAACTCAAGTAATTGGGTTTCTGCCCCTCATGTGGGAGCCCTGGATCGAGTTCCTGGTTCTCAGCTTGCTGTTGCAAGCATTTGGGGAGTGAATAGTAGGTAGAAGCTTTCTATCTTTCTTTCTTCCTTTCTGTCACTCTGCCTTTCAAATAAAAAAACTTTTTTTTTGGAAGAACCAAGGAAAGTTTTATTGTACTGGGTCCTAATGTATTTCCTAAAAGGAAAATTGCTAGGGAGATAAGTATAATATTAACAGATAAAAGGAAATGGAAATGTTTGTACTGAGATATTTTTCTTTTTTTTTTTTTTTAAGATTTATTTATTTATTTGAAAGAGTTACACAGAGAGAGGAGAGGCAGAGAGAGAGAGAGGTCTTTCATCCAATGGTTCACTCCCCAATTGGCTGCAACAGTTGGAGCTGTGCTGATCCAAAGCCAGGAGCTTCTTCCGGGTCTCCCACATGGGTGCAGGGGCCCAAGTATTTGGGCCATTTTGCACTGCTTTCCCAGGCCATAGCAGAGAGCTGGATTGGAAGTGGAGTAGCCGGGTCTCGAACCGGCGCCCATATGGGATGTTTGTGCTTCAGGCCAGGGCGTTAACCCACTGTACCACAGCGCTGGCCCCGATATTTTTCCTATTACTAAAGAAAATAGAATTAGAGGGTAATGAATAAAAAGTATTGTTAAGTACCTACTAAGTATAGGATACTACCAGTTGCAGAGAAACATCTAATAGGCAGTTCTTGCTTTTGGAATTTAATGCCATTAGATACTGATTCCTTTTGTGTGTGTGTATGATTAACTAGCCATTATTTATATTATTTTAAAATAATTTACGCATTAACTTTGTAGTTGAAGATTCCAAATACAGTATTAAAATTGGATTTTCTCCTGAAGAAGCAGCAGAGAGTCAGTTTTCTAGGCCATGAAGAATTGGTGAGGGGTGGGCATCGTGGCACTGCTGTTAAAGCTGCTACTTGGGATACCTGCATCCCATATCAAGTACCAGGTTCAAGTCCCAGTTTCACTTCTGATCTAGCTTCCTAATGATGTACTTCCTGGAAGGCGGCAGGTGATGGCTCAGGTCCTTGGGTCACTGCTCCTCATGGGAGACCTGGCTTGAGTTGTGGGCTCCTGCCTTCATGCTGGCCCAACCCCAACTATTGTGGATAGAAGGTCTCTCTCTCTCTCTGCTTTTTAAATAAAGTAAAAACTAGTGTATAATTTGAGGTAGTTTTAATGTAAGTTTGAATTGAAATAGGAACTACTGTATCCTATAGGGAGAATAATAATATTTTTAAAAATTTAAGAAAAGAGAAGGCAAAAACTAGAGCTTTTGGGGTCTCAGAAAAATAGCTTTGAGAGTTCAGATTCCTGATAACTTTAATGCTGATGGCTGTGAAAGTTTAGTTTGCCAAATAAATTATATTGAATAATATATATTTTAGTTACATTTTAAAAATGATAGAGAAATCATTCAAACAAAATAGCTTTGCTAATTTTTGTGTATTTACTTTCAGTGAATAGTTTTGAATTCTGGCCTTCAAAACTCAATATGATTCACCTCTCTTCATGGTTTTACAGAACCAATAATTTTGATGTGATTTCCCAGCAGTTACCCTAATGTGTCAGTTACCTGATTTTGTTGATGGGTTTGCTTAGTGGGAGTGGGAGGTTGTGGATGCTTTGTCCTCTAGCCTGAGAATTGCTGCTGCTTTTTGAAGACTGGATAATGATCCGTTTGAATTGGATGGCAGAATAGACCTCTTTGTGTGGATTGATAAAACTGTCTATGTCTTGATTGCTAAAGGGATGAGAGTGTGCTGAGAAGGGAAGGGAAGACACTTTGAATTACACCTAAATCTCCGTCTGATTTGACTCTTTTTTCTTTATTGTAGAAATACTTGTTAAATATCTTCCACCAACAGATAAACAGCTGAACAAAAAGGTTGCCATTTTAAAGGACCATGGTTTTATAGAGTAAGTGTTTCTCTGTCTCTTAAAATCATTCCTTCAGAAATCTTCATGAAAAGTTGGTTTTCCGTGTGTATGAGGCCCCTCCTGACTCTGGATGAGCTGAGAGGTGGGTATTTACTGAGTACTTGCCACGGGCAGTGAGTGTGCTCAGTGTAGTGGGGCACACACGGACCATGGCACACTCTGTAAAGAAATGTGTTTGCGGACCTGCGATACAAGCTTGAACTATTAAATGACTGTGAAAAGACAGTCCCTGCCCCTGCCTCTTGTGCAGTGAGTGGGGTCCTCAAGTGGGTGTCTGTCTACCGTGTGATCAGGAGGGACAGCACCGGGCTACTGCAGGCCAGGGACAGCCTGGCAGAGAGCCCACTCCTGTAAACTTGGTGCTGGCTCCTGGGGTGGGTCAGTGGCCGGTGATTCCACATCAAGAAAGTCTTGAGGGTCTCCCTTTCAAATTTTTTGGGTAAAATATAAGTTTTAAATAATGCAGTGACAGTGTTTGGGACAAGTAGCTGGGATGGCTGCCATTGATAATTCCTGAATTTCCTCATTCACGTTATAAACTGTAGCATGTCCTCTCCTGTGTCCCCTTCATCTGTGTTCAGCGTCTTAGTAAAACTGACTGGAAAATAGCTTTTTACTTTAATAAAAAAAAAGTCACTGGATAGAGAATTTTCAGTTATTTAGAATTTATTCCTAAACATCTTCAGGTTTATCTTTTCCTTTTTGATGAAGATAACAGGTTACATATAGTTAGCAGCTCATTTGAAAAAGAGGGCCGTCTGTCTCTCTAGCATTGTGCGGAGTCAGGAAGCCCTGCGGTGATGGCTCTGTCATGATTTGTTCTCCCACTTTAGAAATCTGACGTTTGGTTGGGATGGACCATCCTGGAGGCTGCTCACAGCTCTCAAGTTGTTATGTCTGGAACCTGAAAAATTGTAAGTTCCACATGTGTTGGTCTTAAGCTGTGGCTACAATCTGGACATGACTTTGGAGTTTTTTTTAGCTGACATTCAGACATTCAGATACCAACTAGAGAAGAAAAAAGAATGCCATTGTGTGCTGGAACTGCTTATTTGTTATGTAACCTGCACATACAGTGGATGTTTTACCTCTAAATTATAGCCATTCCTGGAATTCTGGACTTAGAATCAGCATCAGAGTACATGATTGTTAGAATTTTCCAGTCTGTTTGGATATATTCCCCCAGTGAGCAACGATGGAGTTCCGGGCTCCTGGCTTTGGCATTTGGTGCGTGAACCAGTGGATGGAAGATCTTTCTGTCTCTCCCTCTCTTACTTTAACTCTGCCATGCAAATAAATAAATGAATCTTTTTATTTTATTTTATTTTATTATTTTTTGACAAGCAGAGTGGACAGTGAGAGAGAGAGACAGAGAGAAAGGTCTTCCTTTTCTGTTGGTTCACCCTCCAGTGGCCGTTGCGGCCGGTGCACCGTGCTGATCCGATGGCAGAAGCCAGGTGCTTCTCCTGGTCTCCCATGTCGGTGCAGGGCCCAAGCACTTGGGCCATCCTCCACTGCACTCCCTGGCCAGAGCAGAGAGCTGGCCTGGAAGAGGGGCAACCGGGACAGAATCTGGCACCCCGACCGGGACTAGAACCCAGGGTGCCGGTGCCGCAGGCGGAGGATTAGCCTAGTGAGCCGCAGCGCTGACCAAATGAATCTTTTTTAAACAGAGAAATTTCTAGTCTCTTATACTTCCCTCCCTGTGACCTGATGCCTGTTGTTCACAGTTTGGGCACTGGTGCTGTCAGAGGAGTCTCTGAAGGGTGGGCTTTTCCTGGGAACAAGCAGAGCTCCACCAGGCATTACTCTAGGATAGACACAGATTCTCCATGGTTTTTTCCATGGAGATAGCAGATAGGGGAGCTCCCAGTGTAGACACACATGCCTGTCAGACTCCTGAATGTTCCCTGAAGCCATCAGTCATGCTCCCTGCAGCCGTGTGTGTTAGCAGGTTCCAACTTCGCCAAGCCCTTGTCAATATTTATTTTCTTTATTTCTGACAACAGCCTCCATCTCACTGCTGCACAGGAGCTGGGGAGGACTTCCTGAAGGTGGGGATGCCCATTAGGGGAGATGGGGCCTGGAAACGGCCCTCAGCACACAGTGCCTGGAAGCGCTTGGTGCCCATGCAGTGACGCCTGTTACTGTGATGTCACTCACCTCTTTTTCTGCAGGGCCTCTGGGAGTCAGATTTCTCCCTGGCCTCAACACCAGAAGTCATTGTTTTATTGTCAGCAGATGGTATGTTTTGATCTTAGAGGAAATGTGAATTCTATAGCGGATCCATTGCCTTCCATTGGTCACCAGAAAATGCAGAGGCAAATCTATGGCCCTTCCAGATGGATGAGATGAAGTCCCACGATTCATCACCAGTTCAGTCCTGGCTGTGTCTTTCCTGTCCACCTCGCACCCTTGTGTTACCTCCCCACTTCGTTGGCCTTACACTTAATTTTACCTTGTGTGTCCCCGTTTGAGCTTCCTTAGCTTCTTCCTGCAGCACAGTCCGAGTCGTTTCAGGCACTTGAGCCTCAGATGCAGGGCAGCAAGTGGCTGCTTCCCAGAGGTCTTCCTGGGGCCTCTCCTCCCTCCGTGGCCGCTGTCTGGGCAGCACGGCAGAGCGAGCCTGTGCCTGGGATTCTGCCGCACCTGTGCTCGCTGGAGAGCTAACGGAGCCAGGCAGTTTCGGCCCCTCATTAACTGCCACTTAGGGTGCCTTCTCCACCTTTCCTGAGTCAGTTTCTCTGAGCCCCTCCTGGGGAAACAGTGCTCTCCTTGCTCGGAACTCGTGAAGGTCCAGTTACGCACTGAGCCTGGCACTGAGCACTTTCTTCTTTCCTGAGAACCGTCTGTCGCCTGTCTCAGCCGTCCTCTCGGAAGGAGGAGACTTTCCAGACCCTTCCCCGCGTGTCTTCCGGCTCCTGCACTCCGCACTTGGGTGTAGGAGTGGTGTCTCTCCTTCCCTCTCTAGCTGCTCCAGCTTCTCTGTGTCCATCCTCTCTTCCCTGACTGGTGCTTCCTCCTGCGGCTGGAGTGGGAGGCTCTGCCACACTGTGGCCCTGCGTGCTACCTTGGCTCCCTTCTGCCTGCCCCCGCACACCTGCACTCTCCTTTGTACGGAAACTAAGCCTGCCTGCTGCCCAGCCCGACGTCCTAGAAACCTGCGCAGCTTAAAAGCTGGGAACGGCTTCGCTGTAGACACTTCCTTCCAAACAGAGATTGCACCACTCTGTGTGGAGTGTTCCATGTGCCAGTTTCTGGTGAAGGCTCTCGTGCCTGGAGGAAGGCTTCTCACCTTCGCTTCTGAGTCCTCTGACCTCCTGTCTGTGCACTTGCCTTGCTGTTTCCTCTCCTGCTTTATTTCAGGGCTGGTAGACCTGACTCCTCTCATGTCTGTGCTGGACGCAAGGCAGTGATGATGGTAAACTCAGTCCCTGTGGCAGGTATTTGACCTGTCTTTTGGATGCTGCCTCTGCTCCAGAGTCCAGCTTTCTGCTAATACCTACCCTGGCAAGCAGCAGGTCTTGGCTCAACTAGTTGGGCCCCAACACCCATGTGGGAGACCTGGATTGAGTTCCTGCTGCCTGGCTCCAGCCTGACCCAGCTGTAGCTGCTGCAGGCATTTAGGGGAATGAACTGTTGGATGGGGCCTTTCTGCTGCCTGTCCCTTTTTGTCTCTTTGCCTTTCAAATAAATAAATGAAGGAAATCTGCGAGTTGATGTGGCTTCCTTAAAGAAGAACACATTTATGCCTGTCCGCATAGAGCACCCAGTCCCCGTGTTTTCAGCTCCCGCCCCCTCTTCTTTCTTACGTTCCTGTGCGCTTTCCCTCAGGAGCTGAGCTGTGGGTGATTTTAGGGCGTGTCCGGTGGGATGAGCCTTGTGCTCTGGGAAGCAGGAGGAGTTTGTGTGTTCTGTTGAAGTGTACCTTCTCTTTATTTCTGAGTGCTTGCTGAGGTTTTCTCCTGGAACTTTTTCTAGTACATTCTGGAAAAAGGTACTTCTTGGGGAAGTAATTTCAGATACAAATGAGAAGACAAGTTTGGACATAACCCGGAAGATATGCTGTGACTTCATAGAGGAGACCTGCTCTGTGCTTCAGAAGGTGAATTTCTTGAATGTCATATTCTCTCTTTAACGACCTGTTTTGCTTTAGAAGGTACTAGTTTTTCACTAGTGATAGAACATTTATAAGAGTACTGTTTCAAAGTGAATGTTTTTGATGCAGTCTCTATTTTCTTTTTTAAAATGATGTATTTATTTTCCATTTTATTTGAGAGACAGGGAGAGATAGAGACAGACAGAGATCTCCCATCTACTGGTGCCCTCCCCAAATGCCTGAGACAGCGACTGGGCCAGGCTGAAGCCAGGGGCCTGGAACTCTATCCGGGTCTCCATGTGGGTGGCAGGGGCCCAAGCACTGCAAGGCCTCATCTACTGCCTTTCAGCCTGCATATCAGTAGGAAATTGGACAGAAAGCAGAGTGGCCAGTTCTCAGACCACTCTGATGTGGGATGCGGGCATCCAAGAAGTGAATTATTGCTGTGTCAAATACCTGCCCCCTTTTCTTCATTTTTGATAAGAAAAATTATGTGTGTGTATATATATATGTACAACATGATGTTCCATATATATCTATGTATTATGGGGTGGCTTAATGAAACTAATATAGCATTACCTCACTCCATTTTTTATTTATTTATTTATTTATTTTTTGACAGGCAGAGTGGACAGTGAGAGAGAGAGACAGAGAGAAAGGTCTTCCTTTTGCCGTTGGTTCACCCTCCAATGGCCGCCGCGGCCGGCGCGCTGCGGCCGGCGCACCGCGCTGATCCGATGGCAGGAGCCAGGAGCCAGGTGCTTTTCCTGGTCTCCCTTGGGGTGCAGGGCCCAAGCACCTGGGCCATCCTCCACTGCACTCCCTGGCCACAGCAGAGAGCTGGCCTGGAAGAGGGGAACCGGGACAGAATCCGGCGCCCTGACCGGGACTAGAACCCAGTGTGCCGACGCCGCTAGGCGGAGGATTAGCCTAGTGAGCCGCAGCGCCGGCTACTTCACTCCATTTTTTTGTCTTTTTTGGTGGTAAGAACACTTAAAATCCACCCTTTTAGTAATTTTCTAGTATTCATTATTATTAACTGTAGTCACTATGTTGTGCAATAATCAACCTCAACTTTATTCTTTATGTCCAACTGAAATTTTGCATCCTCACCCTGCAGCCTGTAGTAATTGCCATCTGGTCCTGCTCCAGAGGTTGGCTTTTGCGTTTCAGTGTGGCATTGCGCTTCCATGTCTGGGTCTCTTCACTAAGCACGGTGTTCTCTGGGTTCAGACACGCTGGCCCCAGCGGCAGGATCACATCTTTCAGTGGCTCAGTCATCTTCCATTGTCCCCATAACACGCATCCCTCCCCGCTCTCCTGTCGATGGAGCCCGTGGATTCCGTACCTTTGCCTGTACTCTGTGTTCGCTCTTTGCTTAAGAATTGTGTAGTTTTATGGGTGTTCCTGTACCTCTTAATAATTAAAAATTACTGCATGACTTTTTGGTAATAGATTTTCAAGTACGTTTTCTCTTTTATTTTTGTTTAATAAATGTTCCAAGTAAAGGAGAAATTGTCCATGTGTGTACACATGAGTGGTGGTCAGAAGGTGATTTTAATGAACTTTGAGGACGTCCTCAAGGTCAGTCAGTGAGACACACAAGGACCAGTACAGTGAGAGGGTCCCAGAACCTCTGGTTTCCTCGCTGGCACAGGCCAGTCGTGGAGACGGAGCCGAGTGCAGCTTGCCCAGCCTGGGTATTAATTGAGGCTACAGAGTTCCTGTTTGGGGTGATTAAGAGAAAGGTTTGGAGGTGGCTCATAATGTGACTGTGCTGCATGCATGGGTGACCTAGATATGACGTTTCAGTATGTTACTGTAATAACACGTACGTTCACAAACCTTGCAGATTTCCCAGATGAAGGATGACAGCGTGGCTTTGCTGCCCCAGCTCGCTCTGGTGGAAACGCTGTGGATGGAAGAGCTCCAGATCCTCAGAGTGTCTGCCGAGGTCCTGGGCACTTCGCACACAACCGCTACCTGACCTCCGTCACCTCCTGCACACAACCGCTACCTGACCTCCACGCGATCCCTCCGTCACCTCCTGTGGTGGGTGGGACTTCAGCATTTTTAAACAGCTTTGGTGGATTAGATTTAATTTGTATAGAATTATGTTTAGGTGATGAATGGTTTCTACTGAACACCTGGGTACTTAGTCCTTTTCCTTGTGCTTTTCCCTCAAACACTGAACTTCAGGAGCGTCTCTGTGGATGGCGTGGTGGCCGCTCCCAGGACACGGGAGGATGCCTGTGGGGTGGAGCAGGTGCCAGGGCTGCTGGCTGGGAGTGACGACGGCTGGGTCCGCTGAGGGACGCCCTGTGAACTCTGCCGAGTAAGCAGCAGTCCCAGAGCATGCACGAGGAAAGTCCTGAGCTGCAGGAAGCGAGGAGACCGAGGGAGCCAGGAGCCAACCGGGACGTGGAGTGGTCTGGCACTGCGTGAACTGTTCTTACTTGACTTAGCAGCTGGCAGAGGGCAAGAAGCTGTGCTCTCAGGGTGCCCTGATCCCGTTGGGTGAAGGGGCAAGTTGGCGCTGGGTGGTTTTGGGCGGCCAGTCCCAGCCCGTGTGGCTCTCAGCTTCCAGTCCTGCCCTCTGTGGGATGCTGACTTGCACGTGGAGGAGCCCTGGGGGGCCTGGGGTCCAGGAGGCGGGAATCCCCCTTCAGCCTGCTCCTGGCCTTTGGCACACCCCAGGCAGGGCCTGTGAAATACGAACTGGGGAGAAGGGCTGGCTCAGCCGTACAGATCTTCCACCTTAACTTCTGGTGTCCTGGACAGGCCTTTCCTGGCTGCATGCGGGGCTGGGCTCGGTGGAGGTCAGCAGACCCAAAGCTACCCTCAGACTGGGGCCTGTGTTCTTACTCTTGATTTTGTTTTTTATCCACTGTAGACTCAGTGGATACTCAGGGGACACTCCCTCCATAACTGTCCGTGACCTGAGGGGGCTCCCTGCAGAGCTAACGGAGCCAGACTTGCAGAGGTTGGGGTGGCCTGTGTGGGGGATGCCCCGGGGAAACCTTGCTGCTGCCCAGAGCCCTTCTGTTTTCCCTGCTGAGTGTTCCTTCTTCCCAGAACTTTCCCAGTGTGGCGCTCAACAAAACCCAGTGAATAGGGCCCCTTGCGTCTAGTGACAGAGTCTAAATAAACTGTTTTCATTGTCATGGCTTAAACGTCTCTCCTTGTTTGTATAAATGGTTTGTGTTGATTTTATTGTTTATTTTCATTTTGTTTGAAAGAGCGAATGATGAAGAAAGATCTTCCATCCTCTCCCCAAATGCCACAGCACCCAGGACTGGGCCAGGCCAAGCCAGGAGCCCAGAACTCAGTCTAGATCTCCCATGTGGGTGGCAGGGACTTGAGGACTTGAGGCATTCCTGGGTGGCATTAGCAGGATGCTGGTATGGAGAGCAGAGGGGACCCGTGCACTGTGACAAGGGATGCAGGTGTCGCGATGGGTGTCTTGACTGCTGCACCAAATGCCTGCCCCGATTTTATTGTGTTTTTGTTAGTGTGGTATATGTGTGCTCTGCCAGGGGCGGCAGGCGTCTTCTGGGGAGGACCGACTAGTAAATATTGTAGGCATTCCCAGCCGCATGGTCTTTGTCCTGACTGTCCTGCAAAGCAGCATGTCTCGTGACTGTGTTCCCTAAGGTTGTGCACTGACGCCTGTGCTAGTCCAGAATTTCTTTCTCCTGTCCCTGTTTGTGGGCATGTATGTAAATATATTAATTCCTTTATTCTAAAGGGGAGTCCCCATAAAAATTATTGTGTATTAGTTGTCTGGTGATTACAAAAAATGCACAGTGACATAAAGTGACTACTCAGAACCATTTACAGATGAAAATATTTCATTGTCTAGAACTGCTGGGTGTTTATTTGGTGACTAGTTGTCTAAGACTTTCTGTTTGCAGACAGTTCTTGGGTCTGTATCTCCCCGGCAGGAAATCGGGGGTTCCTGGTGGCACAGCTGGTGGCCACACTCTGCCTCCCTGGTGTGTTGCGATGACGGCCGCAGACCTGCATTTCCTTGTATGGAGAGGGCCTGCGTGGGGTGAGCTTTACCCAGTGGCACTGTTTTCTTAGTCTCCAGTGGCCACCGCCTCCCCTGGCCATGATTTTCCTCATTTTAGCTTTCTCTGGCTGTGATGTGGGCGAGCCAGGTTCCTGAGCACTTCCCCCGCTTTGTGTCTGGCTGCTGAGTCTGTGAGTGTTAAACCTCCCACCGCCTGCTTAGCCCCGGGCACTGGGAATTGGCTGCGTTCCTCTTTAATCTTTCCAGCTAAAAACAGAAGAGGCTTCTGCATGGAGGTGCAGGTGGGCAGTGACCTTGAGGAAGTGGAGCTGGGACTCTGACGATTGCTTTGTCACCCAACGCTGACACTGCCCTTTGCCGGCCGTGGAGGTGGGGAGTGGGGAAGTGATGTCTGCTCCTTGGTGTGCAGAGGCAGGTGTGTCCTGAGAGTGTCACTGGGCCCTGAGGAGGACAGTAACAAACCTGTGCCCACACTTCACACCAGTGTGCCCAGGCCTCACAGTAGTGTGCCCCATGTCACCAGTGTGCCCAGGCCTCACAGCAGTGTCCCCAATGTCATCAGTGTGCCCAGGCCTCACAGCAGTGTGCCCACACTTCACACCAGTGTGCCCAGGCCTCACAGCAGTGTGCCCCATGTCACCAGTGTGCCCAGGCCTCACAGCAGTGTGCCCTGTGTCACCAGTGTGCCCACACTTCACACCAGTGTGCCCAGGCCTCACAGTAGTGTCCCCCATGTCACCAGTGTGCCCAGGCCTCACAGCAGTGTGCCCTGTGTCACCAGTGTGTTTCCGCAGCCATTTGCTGCTTCACCTTCATAGGCATTTATCTTCATGGTTTTGTTATAACCTTGATGTGAGAGTTTATTTTCTTTCTTTTTTTAAAGGCAGAGTTAGAGAGGCAGAGGCAGAGAGAGAGATTCTTGCATTCTCTGGTTCAATCCCCAGGCCGCAATGGCCAGAGCTCAGCCGATATGAAGCCAGGAACCAGGAGCTTCTTTGGGTCTCCCACGTGGGTGCAGGGGCCCAAGGACTTGGGCCATCTTCTGCTTTCCTAGGTCATAGCAGAGAGCTGAATCAGAAGTGGAGCAGCCGGGACTCGAACTGGCGATGCTGGCACTGCAGGCGATGCTTTACCTGCTATGCCACAGCGCCGGCCCCTAGAGGTTATTTTCTTATGTCTATCCCATGTAGTTTTATTAGGAAGAGATACAGAGAGCTCCAGAGAGGCGTCTGTCTGCTGACTCATTCTCCAAATGTCTGCCACAGCCAGGGCTGGGCCAGGCTGAAGTCAGGAACCCAGAACTCCCTCTTAGTCTCCAGGAAGTTGAGTTCCAGGGCCATCGTTCTCTGCTTCCCAGGCAGGATAGCAGGGAGATGGATCAGAAGCGGAGCAGCCAGGACCAAGCAGCTTGAGATGCTGGCATCGCCAGCTTCACCTGCTGCGCCAATACCCTGCCCCCCTAGTCCACACGGTTTTAACAGTTCACTAAGTAAAAAAAATAACTGCCCACAGCAAGAGGCAAGTTAATGGAAGGTGAGGGTGGCGCCTCACACTGCCCGGGTGGCTGTAGTCGAAGGGTAGCTAAGCAGTGTTTCCCAGGGTGTGAGGAGACCGGAGCCGCCTCTGCTGGGGAAAGAAGCATAAACGCCCAGCACTGTGCTCCCTGGAATACAAACACCCGAGCGAGCTGGAGCTGTGTGCCGCCGTGGCCCGCTGCCTCCTGCGTGCTCACCGCAGCACTGGTCCCAGTGAGCCCCAGGACCCCTCCGTGGGCGACGGGACCAACCCACGCATACAGCAGGCTGGGATCCAGCCACGGAGAGGAAAGGCCAGGTGCTGACGCTGTGGTGCACGGGACCTGGAAGCATGGTGAGAACCCATGGCAGGAGGCCACGGGGAGCAGCGTGCCTATGCAGTGTCCGGAACGGGCGCATCTGTCGAGATGGGACGGGCTGTGGTGGTTGCTGAGGGCTGTGGGGCTGTGGGGATTACAGGGTGCTGGCGACAGAGCGGGGGGTCTGTCTGGGGTGGAAATGGGGACTGTTCTACAGCAGCCTCTGCTTGACACTGACATGGGCTGAGCCCTGCACTGTCTGTGCACGACTTAACCAGAGTGGGGGTCATCTTCCAGCAGGGCTCGGCTTCTGGGACAACTGTTCCCGGGAAGACTCGCGGCGCTGTGGCCGTGAGGGTGAGGCACACTCCCTCCACCCACTCCTGTATCCATGTGGCCCTTGATTTGGTCACGGTCTCCTGATTGGTGAAGGTGGAAACAAGCGCCCACAGAGGCCAGGTCGTTGCTCAGACCCCGCGGCTGCCCGGTGGCAGCGCTAGGATCTGGACGTCAGCCACCCTCCACGCTCTGCTGTTCCTGTTCCAAAGGTGGCGGTGGTGAGAGGCTGCCCCAGCAGGACCGTGGCACATTCAGGCCTGGTGGATGGGCTGACTCCAGGGAACACTGAGAGGCAGCTGACACAGCCCTGCCTTTGAAATGCACTCCCTCTTGGCTTTACCCGCAGTCTACTATTATGAGCAAGGGGGCTTGTTAACAACGGGCAGGGGCCAGTTGTAGGGCCCAGAGAGCCGGCTTCCCATCCCCAGAGAGGGCTGATGGAAGAGCCACAACCCCTGGAAAGGCAACAGCTCAGAGCCTGGCCGTCCTGTGCCCAGAGGGTACGCAGGTAAGTGCGGAGCCCACGGGTGTGGGTGGGGCCACTCTGTTGGAGTCTTCGTTGTGATCATGGTTACCAAAATGGGCCAGGTTGCCGGAGCTCACCAGTGTTCAGAATCAGAATCTGTGGTTGAAAGGCCACAGGATGCGGATGGTAAATGAGCCCTCAGTGATCTCCATCCATGCTGAGTTTGTATGCTGGGTCCTGGGTCCCAGAAGAGGATGCCCAGGGTTGATGGGCTGGCTTTTGACTTCTGTGTTAAAGATCGTGTGACGCGGAGGCTGCATCAGAGGACCGGGGCCAGAGTGGTTCTCAAGACGATGTCATCATGGCTGGCGTTCAAGCATCTGCCTATGGCGCCAGCATCCCATATGGGCGCCGGTTCGAGTCCCGGCTGCACACTTCTGATCCAGCTCTCTGGGAAAGCAGTAGAAGATGGTCCAAGTGCTTGGGACCCTGCACCTGTGTGGGAGACTTGGAAGAAACTCCTGGCCCTTGGCTTTGGATTGGCTCAGCTCCAGCTGTCATAGCCATTTGGGGAGTGAACCAGTGGATGGGAAGACCTCTCTCTCTGTCTCTCCCTTTCTGTAACGATGCCTCTCAAGTAAGCAAATAAATCTGAAACTAAAAATATATGACGTTCTTTGACCCCCTATGTGGTGACGGAAGTTCAGGTAGGTGGGTAAACGTGGGATCCAGGATCAGCACTCACACTTTCCACCCATTCTGTGGACTTGTCCCCCCGCCCCCGCGTTCTCCTCCCCGACACCCTCCCAGAGAAACTCCCAACCTCGGGAAGAACCAGGGCTGACCAGGGCCGTGGGAGGTGGGAGGATGTGGTGGCCTCAACCCAAGCCCAGGCCGGGAGGGACACAGCCACCGAGCCCCCCTGTGCCGGGTGTTGCTGTTCGTCTTTCTCCCTGATTTCCACCGTGCAGGCCGTACACACCTTTTGTTGGAGAGGAAGACGGCTCCACGTCATGTAGCTGGGGTCACACACCAAGATGTGCGGAGTCCGATTTCAAGTCTGATTGCTCAGGGACCCCGTTGCTGCCTTCAAGGACAGACGGTCTGGGGTAGATGGTGGGTGGCGCTCACCACCTGGAAGTAGTTTATTTCATTTTTCTTGTTTGTGCAATCTCAAGAGTAACTTCAGTGACCTCACTGTGTGTGTGAAGGACCCGGGCACTCTGCTCCCTCACCGAGCTGCAGGGAGGAAGGGGGTGTGCCCAGAAGGCGGCATAGGCCACGCCCCCAACAGCAGCCCCCTGCCGGTCACCATGGCAACCCGCAGCTGGGCAGGGCAGCAGGTGTTATCAGAGGACCCAGAGGGAGGGGCTGCCTGGTTGGCCTGGTGGGGCTCTGCCCACTTCTGACAATTAGCGCTTGGAAGCTTTCTCCTGGTGCCCCCGAAGCTGCTCGGGTCCCCGAGTTCTTTCTCCCCAGCCTTTGGCTGAGACGACAA